GTAAATATAAGGCACTAGAGTTCTACTTAATTACTATAGAAATAAGATATCTAAATTACTATAGTAATTATAATCTAACTTAAGTTAGATTAGATATATTCTAAATTCTAAGCCTCTATAATTATATCTATTAGTAAATATTCTAAATTCTAAGCCTCTATAATTATATCTATTAGTAATAGAATATTATATTACTTATACTTTAACCTCTTATATATCTAGCTATTATCATCCTTCCTTTTTCTTTTTTATCTAGTATTATTATTACTATAATCTAACTATTATTTATTATTATCTTTAATCTCTTCTAACTTCTCTTTATTTTTAAGCTCTTCTAACTTCTTTTTATTATTAGACTCTTCTAACTCATGCCTATTCTATAATTTATTTTATAAAGGGGTAGTAAGTCCTAGAGAGTTCTTTTATATATATATAAGAAGCTTCTAGCTACCCTTAGTTATCTTTATAAAAGCTATACTCTTAGATATTACTTTAGTAAATCTAGGATAGTTATTAATAACTCTTTAAGTATAATTATTAAGATTTAAGTTATAATTTAAAAAATCTTTATTATAATTATCTAAATTAGGACTCTACCTATTACTATAAAGAATTAGAGTATACTAATATAATTATACTATTATAGATTTCTACTTAGTCTAGATATAGTTAGAATATAATTTAACTTAAGTTAGATTTATATAATATACCTTATTATAGAGTAACTAGTCTTTTATCTAAGTAATCTTACTTAGGAAGCCTTACTTAAGGATATCTAGTATAATTTTTTTTAGATTATAGTATCCCTAGATAGCCCTAAGAATATTAGCTTCTTCTATAAATAACTTCTTTATAGTATTAGTCTTAAGTATATATATATTAGTGATTATTAGATTTTACTACTAATTAATATTTACTAATAAATATCCCTAGGCTATCTAATTCACTAGGTTCTCCTACTAATAAATAGTTAGTAGTATAATAAATCTAATCTAAGTTAGATTATATACTAGTTTAATAAGATTATTAAAGTAAGCTATCTTCCCTGCTAAGGCTAGATTTATATAATAAATAATAATTTTAACTATCTTTACCTAATACTTTAGCTTAAAGTAGGCTAAATAGCTAATCTAGTTAAGGAAAGCCTTAGTATTTAATTTCTAATTAGAAAGGATATTAAGCTAAGAATAAATTAGTTTAAATCTAATTTAAGTTTAATTTAATATTTACTTATTTAGCTAGCTCTATATCCCTCTATAAAGGTTTAGCCTAGACTTCTTCCTAAATATCTTTAATTAGGGAATTTATAATATTAATAGTATTATTATTAGGGGCATAGCCCTATATATTATCTATAATAAGAGATAACTTCTTAAGAATAACTAACTTAACTTTACTAGTCTAAATAAATATTAATAAGGTCTTCTAAGTAGCCTTAGGATATCTCTATTCTAGATTAAACTAGAATATTATATACTTTAATACTTTAGTAGTTAGTTCCCTAAGCTCCTTATTTATAATAGTCTAGGACTACTATAATAGGTATTTTAGATCTAGATTATTTTAGAGATTTATAAAAAGTTAATAATACTTAATATTAGATAGGACTAAAAAAAAATTAGGGTATTAGTAGTAGTATATAACTAAATTAACCCTAAATAATACTATTTTAGGTAGGGTAAGAGTACTATTAGTATATATTATTAATAATTAGAGAAGACTATAATTTAGTATATTATTAATAAAGTTATTATTAATTAGAAAGAAGAGTAGATAAAGAATACTATATTTCTAAGGGATAGAAAGTATTATTAAATAGCTCTAGTCTATATCTAATATTTTAGCTAAGAGTTTATTAAAGATAATCTTTTTAAATTTAAAAAACTCTTTAAAGTACTTAAGCTAAATCTAACTTAAGTTAGATTTCTAAATTATATATATATTAGAATACCTACCTAGTTAAGCTTACTAGAGATAATCTTATTAATAATAATAAAGTTAAAATATAATACCCTATATAGAGTTATATAATAGTCCTTAAATAATCTCTTAAACTTAGAATATTTAAGTATAAGGAGAATATATCTAACCTAATTAAGCTTAATACTAAGTATTTATATAAGCTACTACTTTAGTTTACTAGATAAGAGGAGTTATTTCTTCTCTTATAGATTCTTAGTCTTAAATACCTTAAGTATATAAGTTAGAAAGATATTATTAGAATCTAGGTTATTTACCTCTTAATAGTTTAAGTATAGTGCTATCTATATCTTTATAGTAAATATATTATTATAATATATATCTATAGCCTAGATATAATCCTATATATAGGTTAATAGATATAAATCTAACTTAAGTTAGATTTTACTTACCTTATCTATTAGTATTTTAATAGCAGGAGGTAGGGAGCTATTATTATTAGTAATAGATAGAGAGGGCCTAGCTACTACTACTTATTAATCTAAAAGTAGTAATTTAAGAGTAGCTTTTTAATATTAATCTATATTAAGGGTTATTAGTAATAGTCCTTATAGCTAATTATAGATTATAATATCCTTACTTAAAGAAGGATTAGCTATAGAGTTCTATATAATCTTTTATAAGATCTAGGTGCTCTACTTCTTAACTATCTTATTTTTATTTTTTAGTATAGGTATAATATTTATTACTATATATTTAGTAACTAGATAGTTTAGTAGTTAGTCTTAATTATTCTAAGTTATATTAGCCTTTATCCTAATATCTATATTAAAGTACTAAACTCTAAATCCTATACTTTTATAGAGATTTTTTATATAGCTAGTATTAAGCTCCTAGTTCCTACTATTTAGCTACTTAGTATTTAAATAATAAATATTAATAATTATAGCACCTAGTAATATATCTCTAATTTTATTAGATAGTTTATTATTTACTATTAATATTACTTTATTAAGACTCTTCTTCTTTTCCTTAGCACTTATTATAAAATCTAACTTAAGTTAGATTAATATAAATAAATTAAGACTCTAGAGATTAATTATAATTTATTCTATATAAAAAAAAAGAATATAGAGGGGCTCTATATATAAGTAGGGGCTCTATATATAGAGGGAGGTATTTATATATAAATAAAAATAAATAAAAAAAAGAGTTTAATTTAAGTATAAAGAATTAAAAGTTATTATTATATATATATACTTATCTATTATTTAATAACTACTATCTATTTATGACTTAAAGTAAATAGAACTAAATAGATTATAGATTATAGTATATTTTTTATTTAATACTTTAACTTTAAGTCTTTAAGAAATATATATTTAATAAATTAATATTTACTACTAAATATACACCCCTTAATAAAATCATTATAAACTTAAAATTATATATAGAAATCTAACCTAAGTTAGATTTTAATATATTATATATATTATATTAACTACTAGATACTTAATACTCAATATTTTACTTAATATTATAGTGAAATTAGTGATTCTACTATTATATATTTATTATCTTTATAGAATATTAGTATGGTTTTACCTATTTAAAATTACTTAGTAGGTTCATGGGCTGGACCTAGCCTATACTAACTAGATTAAGTAGGCAGAGAATACCCCCCCTAGTAGAACTAAACCCAGTAGGTTAAGCCACCTAGAACCCATGGGTCTATAGGTTGGTTTAGGCCTTAGGTTTCTAAGGCCTAAACCCAGTGGGTTGGGTTAGCTGAATAGGAGAACCCAGCCCAACCCATGAAAATAACAACACTAAGCATACCATAATGTTATGTGCTAGCTTAGAATACCTAGCTGGGAAGAGGAAAAGGCAGATATAAAAAGACTTATATAGGGACACCTGAGCAAGGATAATATAGGCTAGTAGCTAGTTATATTTAATAATGCTAATAACATTAATATGTAGATCACCAAGGCCAGATTAAAGTAGGAGTTATAACAGAGATTCTAGGGTTTAGTTAACTACCTACTAAGCAGTGGTCAAGGATCTATTATCTTTATAATATATAATAGAAAGACAGCAGCCAAGCTTGCACACTAAAATATTATGGAAATTCCTAAGATGGATAAAGAGGCCGCTAGGCAGCTACTATAGAAGTATCTTATTAATCTAGACCTTATTAATAACTGGCATGACATAGCTATCCTTCTTAAAGAGCTTACTTATCTCCTACTAGCTATTACCCATGCAGCCGTGTATATTAATAAGAATAGAATAATACTTAGGTATTATCTATTACTCCTAGTAGGGTAAGAAGAGGAGGTTATCACTCTTCTTAGTAAAGAATTTAAGGATGATGGGAGATATTATAATATAAAAAACCTAGTAGCTATAACATAACTAATCTTATTTAAGTAGATTCAGCAGAGCTATCCTCTCACAGTCTAGTATCTATCATTCATATCCTGTATAGATCTAAAGGAGATTCTGCAATCTCTTCTTCCACCAGGGTCATCACAGAAGGAGGAGACAGACACCATTAGAATACTAAATACCTATTCTTTTATTAGCAGATATCCAGCAGAGCCTATTCTTAATCTCTATCCACTAGTGTATTTAGCTACGCAGAACTGGCTTTAAAAAGAATAGAAGCTTGCTCAGTGGACAGAGAGAGTAATTATACAACTACAGAAAGTGTTTCTGCATAATAATTATAAGAATAGAAGTATCTGGAGGAGATACCTCCTATATACATATTATATACTGCAAGCAGATCTCTCAATAAAGATTAGATATACCAAATAGATCTTATCTAGAGATATAGCCTATGTCTCTATCAAGACAGATAATAGGATGATGCTGAAGTTGTAATTATACAGGTCCTAGAAATAAGAAAGAGGATGCTTAGGCTAGACCATCCTTCCACACTGACCAGCATGGCCAACCTGGCATCAACCTACTAGAGTCAGGGACGATGGAATGAAGCTGAGAAGCTGGAGGTGCATGTGATAGATATAAGGAAGGCAGTGCTGGGCACTAAGCATCCCTCTACTCTGACTAGTATGTCCAACCTAGCATCAACCTACCGGAAGCAGGGTCGATGGAATGAAGCTGAGAAGCTGGAGGTGCAAGTGATGGAGATGAGGAAGACTGTGCTAGGGACTGAACATCCTGATACTCTTATCAGCATAGCAAATCTAGCATCAACCTACTGGAAGCAGGGTCGATGGAATGAAGCTGAGAAGCTGGAGGTGCAAGTGGTGGAGATTTCTAAGACAGTACTAGGTGCTGAGCATCCCTCTACTCTGACTAGCATATCCAATCTAGCATCAACCTACCGGAAGCAGGGTCGATGGAATGAAGCTGAGAAGCTGGAGGTGCAAGTGATGGAGACTTCTAAGACAGTGCTGGGCGCTGAGCATCCTGACACTCTGACCAGCATGGAAATCTCAAAGAAGGCTTCCAGATGCCTTGGCTCTACTTGAAGCATGTTGGCGGCTGCGCAATAAGGTATTAGGACCGGATCATCCAGACACCAGAGTTTCCCTTCATGCTCTTGGTAACTGGCGAGACCAGCATAATTTGTTGCAGAACGAAAATCTCCCACCCTCAGACAATCAGAACATCGGCAGGAGGTTACAGCGCGCCACGCAGCGGCTGCCACGATGGCTAAGCCAGGCCGCGAAGAGCAGATCGATCCGCCCTACACCCAGAGACGATTAGCAGCAGGATTGTTTCTCGGAGGCCACCCCCCTTATCATAGCTTCCAGAGCACTCTCACCTGCTGGAACAGTTTAAGATCGAGACAATAGAGCAATTGATCCATTAAATCATTTTAGCTTTGGCTTACCAGCGTACTGTACAGCGAATTCATGTTCGGTTTTGTAGGTTCCAGCCCGAGTGGCTTCAATCATCAATGTTCGTTTGATAACTGTAATTCTTGGATCTCCCACTATGGCTCTAGCCATAATACTTATAGCAAATCCTGCAGCCTAGCTACTATAACTATAAGGATCAGAACACTTGTTGTCGCAAACTTAGTGCAAGTCAACAGGTATGTCAGCAGCACGAGGAATCATTTCACTTGTAGTGGGAGACATGCTTACTCTCTGTTATAACCTACAGTCTACCAAACAGCTGCTAAAACCGACACTTGCTCCCTTCTGCTGTGCAGCGGCCCTTCTAAAAACAGCAAAGTCATAAAACAACAAGATACAACTGGCTCCGCATTTGTGCATCTAATTCTTTATGTGAATAACACCAATAGGCGGCTAGACCTAGGTAGGATATGTTAGGCTGCGGTAGTGCCATCCTGCAATTAAGCTGCTTTGCGGCAGCTTAATTGCAGGATGGCAGGATAGGAACAAGAAGGTGACGGGACTGTTGACAGTTTGCCAGATTCGCCAAACACTACGGTTGGCAGACCGGGTGGTTTGCATGGGACTCTTCTAGGCTGGAAGTTCCAGCCAGCCTTAGACCGCCTGTACAGGGGCCATATGCATATCCCTATGACATTATTACTGATTACAGTTTGTACATCACCATTAAATTGCACGGAAGATAGATCCATACCCCGTAGGTTTGCCAGTTACAGTTCAGCTCCGTTTACCGTGGTTCAGAACGATGCGCTCACTGCTGAACCTCCTCCCTGCTCTAAGAACGACCAACACACATGGGAATGGCTTCTATTGCAGAAAATCACCCCTTTGTACAGCGGGAGGCAGCGATCTCCGCCGAAAGACGGATTGATCTCCGACGGGAACTCTCAGAGTCGGACTGTGGCTTCTGCACCATCCGGATGATTCCGCCCTCACCCTGGTTCCAGTCATGGCTATGAGCCTATTTTATCGAATCATAAATACGCAATTCCAATCAAGCTCGCAATTACCGTACTATGGGCAAATATGTAAGTTAATACTAATTAGCTAATACAGATACTTATAAAGATTCAATTTGAAGGCTTTAGGGTAGCAGCCCTTGTGACCACGTTGTTGAATATATATCACTCATTTAGGGAGTAAGACAGAAATCCCGCCAGATCCTAGTATTCCCACAAGGCCAAAAGACCAACATTACGTGGCATCTTAACTTTACTACGTTGCGGCCTAACTTTAAGCCGTAATGTAGTCGAGGTCAGCAATATAAGGTAGTTTACTAGCTTAACCTAAAAAGAGGATGTGCGCCTTTTGGCCAAGTAGTCCACCGGGCAGTCAATTATAGATAACATCGCTGATTCCTCTGCCTCCTACACCGATCAAGCGACAACGTTGTATACGCCAAAATGGGCTTTTTCGGGAAAAAGGCACCGCTTCCGCCGCCGAGGAACCCCACGGACACTGTAATACCTATCCCAGCATGGGATGACCAACATCACTTGCGCGCTTTGTGCCTGCATCTTGCTTACCGATTCGACGACGTTCTTGACCCAGAGGTCCCACGCCAATCACTGGAACGTCTGTTGGAGTTGGACGGCTGGCGGACACTAGGAGCGCGACTTCGCAAGAAGGTATGGATCGAAATCACTCACATCATACATGGTAGTTCGCTGGCACCTAACACACATTAGGATGACGGAAAATTAGAATACCACATACCAGCGCAGTACAATGCAAAACGGCCTGGCTTCAACTACACAGTTATTAAGCATCCTATGGGCATCAAGGAGCATCCTTTAGCTGCCAGTTTCCCCCAAGCAACTGGCCAGCCATCACTGCTTGGCGACCCCGCGGATCTCACATCTGTATGTCTGTCTGCGGATACCCCCACAAGGGTCGATGACTGGCTCTATTCAGATCGACCGCAACTTGTCATCGATGTGGTGTTGTTCAGCGATGCGACCCTGCTGACTGTGACCTTCATGCACACGCTCATGGATGCTATGGGCCTTTCAAGTTTCCTCAAGGCATGGACTGCTATCATGAATGGACGAGATCAGGTCCCAACCTTTCAGCAGGTTGGTGAAGATCCAGCAGCGCGCTTCACTGATAGAACCCCGGCCGACACCTATGTGAACGGCTCCTTTCTGCTAACCGGCGTTCGTTTCTTGGGTTTCATCGCCTGCTACCTCTTCGAGCTCATCTGGCACCGCGGCCAGAATAAACGTATAATCTGCATCCCAGGGCGATATATCGATGAGATGCGGGAACAGGCATTGCACGAGCTAGCCGAGCAAAAGCTAGCCGAGCAAAACAAGGAAGGGCCTGCTCCCTTTCTTAGTGAAAGTGACGTGCTTTTAGCATGGTGGCTCAAAGCCTTGGTTAGGGCTCTGAATCCATCCCCCGGCCGCTTGGTCTCCCTTTGGAACGTGTTCGACATCCGCTCGACTGCTCTCCAGGAATCACCATCTGAGAACACAGCCTTCATCACGAACGCTATCCTTGTAGCCATGACCTTTCTTCGCACCCACCAGATTCTCCGCGAACCAGTCAGCTTCGTGGCCTCCCACATCCGCCGCTCGCTCGTCCAACAGCGCACTCTACCCCAGATCGAAGCATTCTTTGCTTTGCGCAAATCCGCCTCGCAGAAACATCTACCAGTGTTCGGCGAACCGACCTCCCTTCTTGTCTGCTGTAGTAACTGGCACCGAGGTCGGTTCTTTGAAGTAGACTTCTCACCTGCGGTTCTTGCCCCGCCGCCCCACGACCGTGTGCATCCGCTGGGCAGGCCATCGTGCGTGATTCCTCTCCATCATTCGAGTGGCCTTGCTTTGCGAAACCTGGGGCCCATCATTGGCAAGGATGCAGCTGGGAACTGGTGGCTATCGTGCACTGTGAGGACGAGTGCCTGGTCTGGCATCGAACAGGAATTGAATGCGCTAGGCGCAAGAAAGACCCAGTGATATCGATTAGCCCTTAGGATGCTAGCAGTGGCTGGACCTGCTGTTCAGCATCAGCTGCTGCTTCTTATTCTCCTGATATAACATCTCCCTCCTCCTTTGGTGACTGAATCCGGGAGTTATTTAAACGTACATATGACTATAGACATATGTTATTTCGCATGAATTTCCAGAAGACTTCAAGCAAGAATGCGGCATCCCATGAAAACTGCAACAGTGTAGTAATAGGTCCCTTGTTTCCTAATTGAGAAGCCATTCCTGGAAAAAAATTGCGACCCCTTGTAGGTCTGATAGGAAGGGTTGAAAGGCTTCGCTTGGGTACTGTAGCCGTCTCGTAGTATGATATAATCCAAACGTCTATTCCTACGACAACACGTCTAAAGCCCTCATCTGCAGTCTATGCTGACAAACATTCAGCTTCATGCATTCGCCGCCATCAGCGCGTAAATCTCCTGCGCGGCTTTTGGTACCTTGCCCTTTTCGCCACCCTCCTCGATATCGATCATCTCATTCGCAAAGTCGCAAAGCGTGGCTACCAAATAATCCACCTCTTTCTCCGTATTTCCGGCATGGATCATGACCCTGACGCGAGACTTGCCTTTGGGAACCTGGGGATAGTCAATGGGAACGACTGCGATTTTCGCCAGTTGCAGGTGAAAGAAGAGCCACCAGTTGTACTTTTGCCGGGTCCAGATTGGTACAATGTGCGTCACAAAGTCCAGCGACTCATAGTCCTCGGCTACGGGAATAGACAAGATACCCATATCGGTGGCTTTGTCCCAGATGTCGCTAGAGGTGATGGATTTGAAGAAGTATTTGACGAGATGTTGTATGTTATCCTGAGCCTAGATTCTTCTGTCATTATGGACTCTTCAGTCATTTCACCCAATCGTTGCATACCTTTTGCGTGGCACCAGTTCTCATCAGGTCATAGGCTGCGCGAATGACGGCAACCGACGGGAAGGATGGGGCTGTGGTATTCACCAGGGACCCAGCATAGTTCAACATCATGTTCCGGACCGTGGCGTTTCCAAGAACCACAGCTTCATACAATTGCGTCAGTGATACCGCTTGAGCAAGCAGTTACTGCCAGGGCTGGTGATCTTACATCCAGTGCAGGCCAAGGCCTTGCCGCAGGTATTCAGTCGGATTGCAACCTCATTTTCCAGACCCAGCAGCTTGACGAGACCGACACCTCTAGGACCCACGATTCCAGTGGCGTGAGCTTCGTCCGCAATGAAGGCAAAGTTCCCCTTGGGACAGATCTCTCGAGCAATCTCGAGCATCTCCACCAGAGGGCAAATGTCTCCATCCATGCTGTACACCGACTCTACAGACACGAGGATCGAGCGTGAACCGTCCTGAAGCATGGGCTGCGAGTCCATGGTGGAGGACATGGCCTCTCGAAAGGCGTCGAGGTCATTGTGCCGGAAGGCGACCTTGGTCGTGGCCAACGAGGCGGCCATGCCTGTGTGCGTGCTGAAGTGAACCAGCTCATCGTACACAATGGCGTCTCCCGGCCGTGGGATAGACGTGTAGATGGCAATATTTCCGTTGGAGCCCGAGTTGAACATGAGAGCCGTCTCTGCCCCGAGGAAGTCGGCGATCTCCTGCTCCACCTCCTCGATATAGTCATAGTTGCCGCCCATCACGCGAGAACCCCCGGAATGCAGCGAGAAATCGGGATGTCTTGCCAACTCGGCCAGAAACTCCCGTCGCAGTTCTCCTGTGAGCCCGAGAGAGAGAAGATCGTTGGAGCAGAAGTCTATCGCGTCTCCTGTTTTCCATGTGCTTTGTCCGCGGCTCATCAGAGACTGGGTCGACCGTCGAACATCTAGAGCCTCCTCGAGATTTCGGTAGAATGTGGGGGCATCTTTCATGCGGGGAGCAACCAGTTTCTGGCTCTTGATCCAGGAGACCATCTCCGAGACGATCTTGCCGTTAGCTGCCATGGTGGTGAGGTTGCGGAAGGTATAGTCTTCGACAGTGGTGCAGCGGCCAGCGTTGTGTCACCTAAAAGAGAAAGAAACTACGCTCAAGAATACATCAAGTCAATTCATAAATCCATTTAAAGATGATCTAGTCGCCCATCGGCGTACCGGGCCGAGGTGCTGCAGGTCGTCGCCAACACGGGTTCCGGCCTGCGAGCGGACGGGGGGCGCATGGCCGTTGCGGAACCCAGCACATGGGAAATGCATGCCAACAATCATGTTAACGGTCATTTTAAACTCAAATGCAGAGATGGTCCGCCAGGTGACTGCGAAGCAACTTACTTTTACTTCGAAACATCAATGACTATGGACGAAAGTAGCGGCACTAATGGCCAGGGGGTAACAATGGGTCCGGATATCATCAATGGGGCTACTCTCAATGGGCATCCCACCGGTGTGCACACTAACGGCACAAATGGTACTTTGGCGCATGGGGTCCCTCGCAGTGGTCAAGTGCCCATCGCCATCTGTGGTATGGCCTGTCGTCTCCCAGGAGGCCTGACGACGCCCGACGAGCTTTGGGATTTCCTCCTCGCAAAGAAAGATGGTCGATGTCGCGTCCCTCAATCGCGCTACAACATCGACTCATACTACTCGGATACGAAGCAACCAGGGACCGTCTCGACCGAGTATGGATATTTCCTCGATGGGAGCGTCGACGTCGGAGCGTTGGATACGTCGTTCTTCACCATGACGCGAACCGAGGTAGAGCGAGCCGACCCCCAGCAACGGCTTATGTTGGAAGTCGCACGCGAGGCGTTCGAAGATGCCGGCGTGACAAATTGGAGAGGCAAGACTATCGGCACGTATATTGGTAATTTTGGAGAAGACTGGCTGGAGATGTTTGGGAAGGAGACCCAGCCATGGGGTATCCATCGCATTTCCGGTTCGGGAGATTTTGTCGTTGCGAATCGGCTCTCGTACGAGTTTGACCTGCAAGGGCCAAGGTATGATCTTCTGCTGGAAAGTTGTTCCAAATACCAGCTCTGTGCTGATCACTTTTCAATAGCATGACGATTCGCACAGCTTGTTCTTCCGCCCTGGTGGCTTTGAACGAGGCGTGTGCTGCTATTAGTAGAGGCGACTGTGGATCCGCTCTGGTGGGCGGCGTCAATCTGATTCTCGCACCAGGAATGTCGATGGCGATGCAGGAACAGGGGGTTCTATCCAGTGACGGCTCGTGCAAGACCTTCTCTGCCGACGCCAATGGGTATGCCCGTGGAGAGGCGGTTACGGCGATTTTCATCAAGCCGTTGGCGGATGCCCTGAGAGATGGCAACCCAATTCGTGCTGTCGTGAGAGCCACGTCCCACAACGCGGACGGAAAGACCCCTACACTGTCGCAACCTAGCACGGACGCACAAGAGGCTCTGATGAGGAGAGCATACGAACTCGCAGGTATTACTGACTACGCGGAAACGGCCATGGTTGAATGCCATGGGACAGGTACGCCGACTGGGGACCCCATCGAGGCGACAGCTGTGGCCCGGGTGTTTGGAGACAAAGGCGTCTACATTGGATCGGTCAAGCCCAATCTCGGACACACCGAAGCTGCGTCCGGCCTTGTATCACTATTGAAGATGGTGAAAGCACTCGAGCATCGCATCATCCCGCCAAATATCAAATTCACCAGCCCCAGCCCAAACATTCCGTTCGCGGACGGTAAGCTTACGGTCCCTACGGATCCCCTGCCGTGGCCGAAGGACAGACTCGAACGGGTCAGTGTGAATTCGTTTGGGATTGGTGGCGCAAACGCCCATGTCATTCTTGAATCTGCCGCTACTTATAACATCCCAGCTGCGGTTCACACAACACCGGAGACACCGCAACTTCTGTTGTTCACAGCCAACTCGTCAAAGTCAATCACGAGGATGATCGACGACTACAAGGCATGGGTGGAACAAAATCCGGACAAAGTCAGTGATCTAGCCTACACGCTGGCAAGGAGAAGGGAACATTTGCCGCACCGAGCTTTTGCTATATTCAGTAATGGTGTGGTTGAAAGTGTCTCACAACCTGTAAACTCCAAGTCTGCGAAGCCGCCGGGCGTGGTTATGGTCTTCACCGGTCAGGGCGCTCAATGGCCCCAGATGGGACGGGAGCTGCTGCGATCGAATGAAGTGTTCAGGTCTAGCATCCGATCTCTGGATCAACACCTGCAGACCATTGCTGGGGAGAAGTCGCAGTACTCGATTGAAGAGGAGCTCAAGAAACCAGCGAAGAAGAGCCGTCTGTCATCGGCCGAGTTCTCTCAACCACTTTGCACTGCTGTTCAGATTGCACTGGTCGACACGCTCAAGTCCGCGGGAATCCGCCCAGACGCAGTCGTGGGCCATTCCAGTGGCGAGATTGCTGCAGCATACGCCGCCGGGGCTCTCAGGGCTGGAGAGGCCATCACCGCTGCCCACCACCGTGGAGCAGTGACAAGCAGACAGAAGAGAGCAGGAACGATGGCGGCTATTGGAATGAGTTGGGCGGAAACGGAAAAGTACCTCGTCCCGAACGTCACGCTTGCCTGTGACAACTCACCCAAGAGCGTTACAATCTCAGGCGACATCGACGCCGTCAAATCCGTTGTGGCTGCTATCAAAGAGGCACAGCCACAGATGCTGGCTAGGCTGCTCCAGGTTGACAAAGCCTATCATTCATTTCATATGAAAGAGATCGGAGAGGATTACCAGTCCTTGATCGGCGACGAAGTGGTCGGGAGAGAACCATCGGCGCTCTTCTTCTCCAGTGTGACCGGAAGTGTCCTAGGCCCCGAGCACAGAACATGGTCAAAGTACTGGCAGGACAATTTGGAATCGCCGGTCCGGTTCCGCGAGGCCGTCACGGCCATTTTGAAACACGACGTGGGAAAGAATGCAGTCTTCCTTGAGGTTGGGCCCCACGGGGCTCTCGCAGGTCCATTGAGACAGATCTTCACTCAGGCTTCATCTCCAGCTCCCTATGTGTCGGTCATGGCGCGCAACCAGGACTGCACTGCATCTTTCTTGTCCGCCATTGGAGCACTTCACTCACTCAATGTCGATGTCAATCTCGAGGCCCTCTTTCCCACGGGTTGCTGTCTTTCGGATCTTCCCCGGTACCCATGGAATCACGAAGGGAGCTACTGGTACGAGTCTCGTCTCAGCAAGGAGTGGCGCAACCGCAAATTCCCATACCATGATCTCCTTGGTGCTAGGGTGGCTGAGAGCAGTGACAGTGAACCTGCCTGGCGTAACATGTTCCACGTTACAAACACGCCGTGGATTCGTGACCACAAGGTTGGGGAGAACATCGTCTTCCCGTTCTGTGGCTACATTGCCCTGGCAGGCGAGGCCATCAGACAATTGACCAATGTTGAGGAGGGATTCAGCGTTCGAAATATCATTGTCAGCACCGCGCTTGTGCTCAGCGAGGGAAAGCCGACGGAGATGATGGCCACGTTCCGGCCGCACCGCCTGACAAACTCCCTAAATAGCGCGTGGTGGGAGTTCACTGTTTCAGCCTACAACGGGCGCAACTGGACAAAGCACTGTACAGGAGAGGCCTGTGCTCAGTCGTCGGCGCCCGAGCAGACCCAGGATCCTGCTGACCTGCCCCGGAAGCTCAATGTTAGAAAATGGTATGAAAAAATGGGCAAAGGTGGCCTCAATCTGGGAGGATGTTTCCAGACCCTTGAGACGATGACGACCTCGACTTCAGAACAGCGGGCGGTTGGCAACGTTGTCAATGGAAGGCAGGGAGATGAAGCCAACTACCACATTCATCCTACCGTCCTCGATGCGACCCTGCAGATTCTGGGCGCTGCTGCAGTCAAGGGCTACGCACGCAAAACCAAGACCTGGCTCCCGACCAGCATCGATAAAGTCACCGTCCATAGGTGCTCGTCAGATATGATCGCCAGCGTTTCCGCTAAGCTGTCGAGTAACTTTTCGGTTGTTGGAGAAGGCCGTTGTACATCCGGGGGCACCACAGTCGTTGAAGCTGTCGGTATCCGGATGTCACTTGCGGACGGTGCTGGTGCAACAGACATTTCGGACACACATGCCGCATCCAGGTGTGAATGGAGACCCGACATTGACTTCCTCGATGTGGATGAGCTCTTCTGCCCACCGGCAGGCCGAACAGACCATTTGCGTCTCCTGGAGGAGCTCGGGGACATCTGCTTGCTCTTGTCCCAATGGCGTTTTTCAGAATCAGCAAGCAACCCAGTTCTGCCCCATCTACAGAAATACATGGCTTGGATCGGGTCTCAATCCAGCTCGATTGCCTTCAGATTGCCTTCGACTTGGACAGGCCTCGATAACGAGGCTATCTCCGCTCGAATCGACAATATATTGAGCCAGCTAGCAAACACTCCGGCAGCCCCAGTCGCCAGTGCCATGCGTCAAGTCTGCATAGAGATGGATTCCCTCATGTCCGGCGAAAGCCTAGAGAGTGTTCTCGCCGGGGGAACGCTAACACACGTCCATGAATTCCTTGGACAGCTAGACCGAAGGGAATTTATTCAAATGTTGAGCCACTCCAAGCCCAATCTCCGGATTCTAGAGATTGGAACTGGAAACGGCGTGTCGTTGCACCGAGATATCCTCGCGGAACTGACACGACCTGATGGGGAGATTCTCTGCGCCAAGTACACTTTGACTGCCCCAGGCTACGTTGTGGCGACAACCCAGGAGAAGATATTCCCAAATATGGAGTTCGCCAGCTTGGACATCAGCCAGGATCCGTTCGAACAAGGATTCGAGGAAGTCGGGTACGACCTCATTATAGCTGTCAACGCTCTTCATGAGTGCAAAAATATCCAGGAAAGCTTGGCCAACCTGAGGAAACTCCTACGTTCCGATGGTCGGTTGCTTCTGCAAGAGCTTTGCCCGTCATCCAGATGGATCCAGTATGTGCTCGGTGTGCTCCCGACGTGGTGGTCGGGCCCTGCCGATGGGCCAATCGAGGCGCCCTACCTGGGCCAAGAAGAG